GCCGAAATCCGCGCCTGCCCGACCACCGTTTTTAGGATCTTCTGCGCTCCGGCTCGGACTCGGAGACGCAGCTAGGCGCGGAAATAGCAGGCGCTGATAAACGCGCCTGTGGCACCGGAGCGATATGAATGGTGATGCTATCTGGTGCGGACGTTTTGGCAGCCTCGGACCGATCTGGGATAGGGCCACCCAATCCGAATATTCCATTTGAAGGATGTCTCGATCTCGGATCACCAGGGCGTACTTATACTTAACGCACGGGCGAAGTAGTCATCGCGCGCGTTCGTCTGTCCTTCCTCCAAGCCTGCCCCCCGAATCCAGCCGACGACGACCATGGCGGCCCCCCTGCTGCCCGTGCACGCTGCCGACGCCGTGGTGCCCGCCGACGACGGCGCGCTGCGCGTCGCGATTATCACTGGTGCGTCCCCTCCCGTTTGCCAACAATAGGATAGAATGAACGGACGCAACGCACAGAGAACTTCCTGCCCAAGATCGACGGCTCGACGGTGACGCTCGCGCACCTCTTGCAGCACATGAAGCGCACCGGCGTGCAGGCGATGCTCTTTGGGCCCGAGTCGGGCATGGTGCGCACCTCCCCTCTTCGCTAATCCGGGCGGGAGCCGACGAATGCTGTAGACCGAATACGCGGGGTGCCGCCTGTTCGGGACGTTTGGCGTCCCGCTGCGGGTGTATCCGGGGCTCAAGATCAAGTGCGCTACGACTGTTTCTGCTGCTGCTGTTGTGTACTGACACAGAGGGGCACAGTTTCATCTCGCCGGCCTTCCTGCGCGCCCTGCGCGCGTTCGCGCCCGACGTGATCCACATTGTCGACCCCATCTGGCTCGGCGTGCAGGCCCTCGCCGCGATCGCGCTCCTCTTCCCGCGTACGCCGCTCGTCACGTCGCACCACACGAACCTGCCCACGTACGCCGCCGTCTTCGGCTACCCGTACCACACGCACCGCACCTGGGCGCTGCACGCGTACTTGCACTCGTTCGCGCGTTGCACGCTCGTCCCCAGCGCGAGCACGGCCAATTTGCTCCGGGAGCGCGGGTGGCGGAATCTCCGCGTATGCGAGCGGGGCGTGGACGGGGACTTTCGGGTGCGTTCCTCCCTGTTTATTTCTGCTGAAGAGTTGTGATGATTGATGTGTGGAAAGCCGGATTTGAGGAGCGAGAAGCTGCGCGAGGCGTGGGGCGTTCTGCCGAGCGACGTCGTGATCCTCTCCGTGGGGCGCCTCAGCCCCGAGAAGAATCTCGTGCTGCTCGTTGACGCGTTTGCGCGCCTGCTTGCGCTTCTATCTCGACCCAGAGCCGCGGCCAACGAGAGTGCGAGTGAGAACGAAGGGGAGAGGGAGCCGCGCGCGCACCTCGTCTTCGTCGGCGACGGGCCCTTCGCGCCCGAGCTGCGGCGCCTCTGTGCGGTGCGCGGCGTTAGCGCGATTTTCACAGGCCAGCTGACGGGAAGGGCGCTCGGCGAGGCGTTCGCGAGCGCGGATGTTATGTGGTGCGTTCTTTCTTCCTGTCTTCCTATTCTTCCGTCTTCTGTTCCTTCCCGCCCCTTGGCCGCGTGTCTTCATTTTATTTTATTTGTCGTATCTATCGCGTTCCTGTCGCGTTTCTTGTTGTTTTGTTTTTCTGTCGCTGCTGATATCTGATTGATACTGACGCGTTATCGTCTCGCAGCGCGCCCTCGATCACGGAGACCTTCGGGCAGGTGACGCTGCAGGGCATGGCCTCGGGCCTGCCGGTAGTGGGTCTGTATGTCGAGGGCACGGCGGACCTCGTGCTGCACGGCGAGACGGGGTACCTCCTCGATGTGCATGAGGCGGCCAAGGCGCAAGACGATTTTGTGGGTTTCGGGGACGCCTCGGCCGCTTCAACTTCGACTTCGACTTCGACTTCCGGCAAGGAGCCGAGCGCGGAGAGCTGCAAGTCGCCCACCTCCGCCTCGGAGATCTGGGCGCCCTGGGCGTGGGCGGCGACGGCCGTAGGCTACGCGGACAGCGCTGCCGCCGCCGCGTATCCTGACAGTGTGGTTGGCGACGACGCCGAGTGCCCGCCGCTCGTGCGCGACGACGACGCGCCGTGGTCGCCCGCGGACCGCGCGCCCGCGACGCCGCCCGACGCCCTTGGGCGCGCGCCCACCGCCGCGGAGTGGGTGCCCACGAGCAAGCTCGACGTCCCCGCGCTCGATGCGCCCTCGGAAGAATACACGGAGGTGGGCGGCGATGACGAGACGGCGCCGCTCATTGCGCCCGGCGTCCCTGGGTACTCCGCGCTTGCGCCCGCCCCTTCCTCCCTCTCGCCTTTGACTACAGCCCCGACACCGATGCCGAGCCAGACGGAGACAGCGAGCCAGACGCCCGCCAACGCCTGGACGCCCGACAGCCCGCTCGCGCCCACCGCGCGCATCGCGGCGTACGCGGACTGCGCGCCGCTCGTGCGCGCGCCCGCCGTCGCCGCGCGCTTCGCGGCCCTCCTCCACGTGCTCGTCGTCGACCCGGACCGGCGGCGCGCCATGGGGGTGCGCGCGCGGGAGCGGGCGGGCGGATACGAGTGGGACGGCGCGCTGGGGCGCATGCTGGGCGCGTACGGGGAGGCCGTCGGCGGTGATTTGGGTTTGGGCACCTCCGCCCTTTCCGCCCTTCCGAGCGCCGGCGGGAGCGGGGAGGAGGTGCGGGCGGGGAGCGCGCTGGTGTTGAGCCGCGACGTGCTTACGAAGCACCGCCCGAACCGCGCGGGGGAAGCGGGGAATGGGAAGGCGTGGTGGGGCGTGCAGCCCGTGGTGGACGCGGCGGTCGTCGTGCATGCGCTGGTCGCCGCGACGCTGAGCCATGCGGCGTATATGGTGCCCACTGCGCGGGATCTGTGGGGCTAGCGCAGTCCCTCGCTGGTCGACGTCGTTGGAGATGTTTTAAGAGCAGGAAGGGGAAGGGGGGAGGGGGGAGGGGACTCTAATTCTAATGCTAACTAACGCACCGCTCACGATCCCTGACTTGTATCCTTGCGCGCGCCCTCGTTCATTCATTCCCTACATAGTACATAGACACAGAGAGAGACCCACGGCGCGTGCATGTATGTATTTGTAGATATGTAACCTTTTTCTTGTTGGCTTTGTACTTAGTATGTAGGATTGTAATTGGGAATATCATGTAGATGGTTTGATATCCGTGGGGTGCAGGGGAACCTGACACAGGGTGGGGAGGCAGGTGCGTTTCTATTAATTCTAATCTTGACGCTAGGACTTGTAATCTAAGTTCAGGTTCCCTTCGTGCGTGTGGAGGCGGCCTCCGGGTGGGGAAAGGAAGGTGCGTTTCTAATCTTGGCACTAGTACTTTTGTTTCCAAGGTCAGATTTCCTTCCTGCGTATCTCGGTCCGCGCGCAGGACGAATATAGGTTTAATTCAACCTGGGAACACGGTAGAGTGGTACGATATTTCCGGTCCGATGGGCCGGGTCCGTCATTCATTTAGGATGGCACGTTGGTGGCTCCAACGAACTGGAGCCTGGCTCGTGCGCGCTATCTTCGCCGACGGGTGACTCCCATGCTGGTTCTGACTGAGAAGGATGGCCCGATGTCGGACGAACCATAATTTCGCAAAACAGTCTAGTCGCCGTAAACCAGCAATCTAACTTGAAGCAGGACTTCGTTGAAGTACAGAACTTCATTCGCACAATCATTTGACAGCCGTACATGTACAGTACACCAACTGTTGGTCTACTTTCCTGGGCAAGTCTGTCCCACGCCGTATCAGATGGTCAGTTCGATGAGTGCGTGAGCTGCTGCCTTCAACGAGTTTTTGCCTCCATTGAAGAATATTGTAGTAACAGAAGATGACGGTGAGACTGAGTCTGTGACACTCGAGGTGTGTTAGTCTATCTGTTACAACGGTTTACCGACCATTGTACTGGGTCCCCAAAAGGGGAAAAGTGCGAAAAAGAAATCAAAAAGGGAAAGAAAGAAAGAGACTCAGAGGCTTCAATGGAAATTTATTTGGCTTGAAAAATCTTCAAAAGATGCTTCCGTTCCTTCCGCTCAGTTCCACTTTTCAACAGTACACCATTCAAAGATACACGACAAAAAATTGATGCCCGAAGTGCACAGCTACATTGAGCCAATCATGAGCTGAATATGTATAGTATTGTGTACCTGGCTATCCAGTAAAATAAATGGTGCAGTACACAGGCTGTAGTGTAGACCGACAACTTGAAGACTCAAGAGTGGCCATGGCAGGCAGGAAGTGCCCACAAAAATTGCATATTACAAATGTAGATGTTCGGTGGAGCTTGAAAGAGCTGATAAGGGTTCAAGTAACATATGTGGATGATTTCTGAGACATGATGATGGCCAATCTGCTCGTGCTGAAGAGACCGTACAAAAAGCACGTCAACTTTGTGCTGTCTGCTTGCTGTTGCCAGGGAAAATGTGATTTAAGGTAGCCAGAGGCTTTGGATTATGAGGAGTCAAGGAGTTACAATGTTAGCCACAGGAAACGAGGCCAAGGAGGCATGAAGTGAGGAAGATGATGTAGGATGGCACATAACAGTTATGTGCCAGTGACGTTACTATTCGTGACTGTCACTCGGCTTGCTCCGGGCCACTTAGTTCGTGGCTACAACCTCGAAAATTAACAATTAAAGTGTCGAAGGCTACTGAGGGAAGGTGTAAAGGTATTCAGGAATATTTTGGTGAATTACAGAGGAAGTCCCAGTAGAGGATTATGGCTGCAAGTTATGTGCCATCAGTGGCTGTGGCACATAACCCAGCTGATCCGTTGTGAGCCATCACATTGTGATAGCTCCCGACATAACCTCAAAAACGCCGAACTCCGAGAACGTGGCTACAGCTTGACACTGAATTTAAAAAGCCGCCTTGCCCAGACCATGGCTTGACGGAGAATCAAACTCCGTACCCTCTGAAAACGAAACACCTATGTAGGAATTCAGAATGTGTTACTGAGCCGTGCTCGGACAACAAAAGAAATATTTTAAACACAATGGCTTGACGGAGAATCAAACTCCGGACTTTCTGTCAAACAATATACGAACGCTGCATAAAGGACACGGAGTGTGTTACCATTACGCCACCAAGCCATTCAAGAGTTGAGCTCAAATGACCACCAAGGAGCAACTCCGAGTTTCCTGACCCAACCAATGGCTTGACGGAGAATTGAACTCCGAACTGTCTGTCTTACGATATACAAATACTGTAGAACAACACGGAATGCGCTACCATTACGCCACCAAGCCGTACGAATCAAATGACCAAAAAGCCAACTAGACCATTGCCGTGAAAAAGAAGGGTTTCCATCAGTGGCTTGACAGAGAATTGAACTCCGAACTGTCCTCTTATGATATATCTATATCAACGGAGCATGTTACCATTACGCCACCAAGCGGTTCACGGAACAAGTCGGATAACAGAAAAACTGCTAGAAAACAAGGAATGACTTGACGAAGATTTGAACTCCGAAAACCCCGTTATCAATATGTGAACGTGCATTCCGCTACGTCACCAAATTGTTCAAGAAATCCATCACGGAGGCAGCATCAAGCAGCAACTCTGTGGAAGGGAAACTGCACCACATCAAAAAGGAACAGGGGAATGGCTCAGCAGAGAATCGAACTCTGAACCCTCCATAAAAGCATACCGCGAACTACATAGGAATGGGGAGTGCAATACCATTACGCCACTGAACCGTTCAAAACGTGCCGTATCTTCTTACAATCCTCGATGGACAAAAACGCAAGGCCCGATGGAGGTTCAAACCCTGGTACCTCTATTATTCAGTTTCCTGCCAGCTACGCGAGCAGAGTGCATTACCACTATGCCACCGGACCATGGGTACGACCAATACAGATGTCCAATAATCGGCACAAAAAAGGGATGGAACAGAGGAATGGCTCGACGGAGAATTGAACTCTGGACTTCCTGCAAAGGCTGCAAAAGGTGCTTGTGCAAGAACACTAAGGCAGGACCTGTTTCAACTACGCCATCAAGCCATGAATGCATACAATCTGGGAGGACAGGCAGAAACTCCGAGTAGACAAAAAAGGTGGATCACACAAGAGAATGGCTTGACGGAGGATCGAACTCCAGGTCTCTCTGGAATGGTCAAACACTGGGGCAAACAATATGGAGCACACTACCTCTGCGCCATCAAGCCGTTACAGGTGGAATCCAGATTGGAGGGGAGCTAGGATCGGAAAAGGTATGTCCAGGACTAGGGTGAGCAAGTCCAGACCACAGAGTCAGTGCCTGGTACAGGGAACGGTGCGGACATAGCCTCATGGAGTCCGTAGTGAGTGACAGGTGAGCTCTGGGTGGAGGAGCATGCGAGCGAGCAGGATTGGGACACAAAGGAACATCTCCGGCACAGCCTTAGGCTGGGGGTATAAATACTACAGCCTGTCTAGCAAAATATCATCTCAGTTTCAGCCCACATTCGCAGCTTCTAAGCCTTAGCCAGCTCAGGAGTAGCTAAAAACCACCCAAACATCACCTAGAGGTCACCCGGAGTCAAGTTATACAGTAAATCAACCTCCGGCACTCCCTCGCCGCCGTCAGACAGCGAACGTGAACAGAGTTTCATTCAGCATAAAGTTCAGCGTCGATTATCAAACCTTCTATTCCTCCCCTACATTAGTAGGGCAGTGAAATCTCTCAAGCAGCACAACAAGTCTTTGGAGTTCGTGTGTAGCTGCTAGCTAAGGAAGTTGGTGGTGCAGAGCCCGCAGAAGTCACCTTCAGCAAACGAACAGGTTGGGAAGTAGAGAGAGGAAACTCCATAGAGGCATAAAGAGGGGCAGAAGGAGGAGAAACTTGCAGGAACGGAACTGTAGACACATAACTCCCCCGGTCTTATGATCTACAACCCAAATATACTTCGGACAGCCATGGTTCGAGGTCCAAGAAGCCCTTAAAACACATATTTCACCTCGGACTTGACGAATTGGACCCCGCATCGCCTTCCGGAGTTCCTCCTCCAAGGACATGTAGAACAGATTCAATCTCTGTTAACCCGAGAAGGCTAACTAGGCTTTAGAGTTCGCTCGGTCCACCCTAGCTAGCAGGATTTTGAACAAACTGTTCAAACCTTGTACGGATATCCCCACCAATATTATTTAAAACCTCCAATGTACTTGTCTACCGCGACAGAACAAATTCCCCCTAGAGGACGAGCATTTAAAACATAGCCCGGATCTCCCCACCATCTGGCAGTTTGAAGCACCGCAGTCCGCATCAAAGCGTTGGTAAACTGTTACAACAGGGGGTTGATCGTGTACTGTGCTTATTATGTAATCTTAGGTAATCTTTCAACAGCGCATCGAGCCTTGCAAGAAAGACATGATATTTCATGTTATTTTGACATGGCGCAGGTTGCCTATTGTATGCCTGAAGTTCTGTCTCCTCAGATTTCTTAAGAAGGGCCTGGAACCGCGGCTTGAGTTCAATCTAAGCATGTGATCTGTCGACCTCCACAGCACAACTGAATCAAAACAGGCCTGAAATCTCCAGATGGCCATTAGAATGGACTTAGAGACACTTGAGTCCAGTAAGATTTGCAAGAGGGATGAATGAACATACCAGGAGTTTGGCCCCCCAAAAATTATTAGCTAAGATTACATCATAAGCTCAATACGCGATCGGACCCCCGTGGTTACTAACAGACTTCAACAAGTGAACCGTGTTGAAGCACGTCTACAAGAGACTAAGGTGTGTACACCATCCACAATGACCGACATGACAGCGGGAAGAAGGAAGCGTGCGGGAAGCAAGGCAAAAAGGATGTTATAATAACGGAAGTCCACCCAAAGATCCGGTCCCTGATCCACCTTGACATCTGAAAAGCGAAATCAAAACGCAAAGACTGGGAATCGAACCCACTCGAGAAAAATCTCTGTGTGGTGCTGTTTGGCTGTGGGAAAGTTCAAAATTTGGCGGCCATCTTCAGGACCCACTACCTAAAGTAATCGCGTGTCCTGTTTGATGCACCAGTTTCGATGGCCTTCATACATCCGGGCCCAAATATTCAACTTCCAGAACCCAGGTAGGCTTGGATTGACGAGTAAAGTACAAGGTGCCTCGGAGCTGAACATAAAGATCCGAACAAAGCCGGAACGCCATCAATCCTGTATCACTACATCAACCTCCCCAAGAAACTTGTGAAGGAAATGCTCGGAACACATTCATATCTCATCAAGAATCCTCCAAAGAAATGAGCTTTGCATTTAGCATACCACGAAGCCCACCCAAAAATCCGCACCGAATTTACGGAGGTTTAACTCATCTCCCAAGGCCGATTTGTTTTCTGTACACAACTACTATTATAGTCTTCTTCCTGTCCTTTCTAAAATTCCAATTGTCGTCTAGCCGCGAGATGATGGGGTGTGTGCTGCTGCTCCTGAACACCGACTCTTCTTGTCTATCTGCGAAACGATCTGGTTCTCGATAAGTTGGCGAAAGGTAAAGCAAGAAACTGGGCGTATGGCCGTTTTCCTGTGTCAAGACATCGACAATCTGCCGGTGATTGATACGGATGCCACGAGGCATGCGTCCTGATCTCTTTGTTCTCGTTCTTCCATCATGGCCGATGCAGACATTCACCCCTCGCTCCGCCTCGACAGAATCTCAGGTCTCCCTGCTTCTCTCAAGGTCCGGATCCCCACATATACCTTGCCATTCACGCATCAAGTACTGACAATGCTCCAGCGAAAGGGAGACCTTCTGTGGGTACGCAACGGCCACTTCGGGGCCGGCAGTGGCACCATGGCAATTATACGAGGCGAGCAATCTTCTCGCCGGTATTATTACCTTCACGACCGTCAGCTCTGCCCGGGATGGCTTTCCAGGGCAATTGGGTCTGGTGCTCCTCGCTCGCGGAATCGCCGCAAATATTACAGCAGCCATCTACGCTCTCAATCTCTCTATCGCGGTCTGTGCTCGCGCTCCGGAGATCCTAGACCAGGCCCTTCTACTGCTGCGCTGCTTTTTAACGACATCTCCAACTAGGTCATCCATATCTACTGCACTTGAGGCAGGGCTCCTGGGTGCCCTCGTGTTGTCCGCTAAAGTCGACAGCCCGCACATTAAGCATCATTTGAACGTTTATTTCACGCAGCTACTTCCGGGATACATGGCATATCGCAGCGTCCTGCTGCATATGGAGAAGGCTCTCCTTGAGGCCGAGGATTTGGCTCCCACTGGGGGCCTTTTCACCTCAGATTTTAACGCCGTGTGGAAACGCTTCTCGTCCTTAACTCGGGAACGGCTCGAACTACTGATCACGTTTGATTCCACCCCTCAAATATCCTACAGGGAGTGCGACAGCGTTAAGGTCCGTCAGTTTCACCCACGACGAAATCCACCTGATCTCGGCTCCCTCAGTGTGCCAAGATCTGTGCGAAGAACGACCTGCGCCGTTGTTCGGGCTGCCTGGATCTCTATTATTGTTCTAAGCACTGCCAGGTTGACGACTGGCGAGCAAATCATCGCCGGAAATGCAAAATTTTCCGTCCTGTCCGGCACCTCCTCCGTGCGTATATCCCTCCTTTTACTTCGTCCAAAATATTAATAATAAAAATCAGAGGAGCAGGCGCGCTCTTGCATCGCGACTACCTCACTCATAGAGCCACACTCTGGGCGCGCCAAATCTCGAACATGAACGAACCCCTGCTCCGACTCCCGTACTTCTGAATCGTTTTCGATTACATGTACGGCGCGGTCCGGATCCGCATGGAGGAGTGGCCTTCGCATTCATACGACTGGGAGTTCCGATATGAGCCCATCGAGCGCATAAACCGGTGGTGAGACCATGCGGGCCGCGCTGCGGACAGTCCGGGGCGCATCAAATTGCACGTCGCTCTCCTGCCCGAGGGCCTGGGCACTCGCTCGGCGATGATCCCGCTGCGTCGTAACGATGCCGCGCTGTGGCAGGGCTTGTGGGCTATTTCGCAGAAGATTGCCAGAATCCCTCCGACCGATTCTAGCGCTGCATATATCATGGAGGAAGAAGACGTTCAACGGATAGAAGAGTTGGATATAGGGTGCATTCACGAGGGATTTATAGTTACGCAGATTGGTCGGTGGTGGGAGTTGAATTTCACGGTGGATTCAGGGCTAAATAGAAATTCAACCTCGAAATCCAAAATGGTATTCCCTCAAAACGCGATGCTTTCTGAGCCTACCTTCCTGTGCATGGTAGCAGTATGAGGCTATGAACATGTTGGCGCGCCCTGCTCTTTGGTCTCCCATGTAAACGGCGAGAATGGCCTAATTTGGGCCGGGGGACGACACGGCTTGGGTCATGTGGCGCAAATGCGGCGCGGAGAAACGTTGCCGCACAGTTCCTAAGTTAGGGTAAGTGGAACTCCTCTTAATTATAACTCCCACATTGCGGCATACGGTTGGCCGGTCGTATGACCAACCCGGCACAAGCATCAGAAGACTTCTTCCAACGTGCTCCTTGGTCCCACATTGGCAACGAAGTTGCAACACAGCGCAGAGTTCTTTAATCGCAACTCTGCCGGATCGGCAGTAGCCCTATGGCCCATGGCACAGCAACGTCAACCCCGCAGACTCTAGGATCCATGAATTCCTGTGCTTCGACTTGCCAACTTTGTATGCTCCATAGACCAGCTTGAGACCAGCGGACTTGGGACGCAGGACCAATCATGATGTTATTGATATTCCCTCCTCTCAGTGTCATACTCCCCTCTGGACTGCACACATGGTGCCGTACATAATTATTGCGCACGTTTTAATGTTGCAGATGGTGCATGGATCGGCCAGCGGAGCCGTCTGCGTACCCAGTTCTCCTCGCGGGTTATGCGGGTTCTGATCGAGTTCCCAGTGGTATACTATAAAGACCACCCGTAGTTTGAAAGCACATCCTCAGTTCGAGATCTTGAATCATGTTCGCTCGCTCTCTGCTCATCGTCTCCGTCCTCGCGGCTCTAGCCTTCGCTACCCCTACGCGCCGCGCGCTGCCCTCCGGCGGCTCCCCCGGCGCCGACCGCGTCATTTTCAACACGGCTGGCACGTACTGCGCGTGAGTTGCTTCGCATCTACATACTAGTCTTCAGGTTGAGCTGATGTGTATCAGGGTTGTCACTCACACCGGCGCGTCCGAAACGAACGGCTTCGTTTCGTGCGAGGTGCGCGCAG